TGACAATGCTTTTTAATTACAGATATCAAGACACGGCAAAGATGGAAGCCATTTTGAATTCACTTTTCAATTCCGACCACAGAGCTTTCCTAAAAATGAGAGAGTGTCAGTGCACCTGTTCATCAGACAATGCCAAAAAGCTTCCCAATAACATCAAGGCTGCAAGTGGGAGATTCAATTAACTAACTCAATAGAGCCAGCTCATCAAACCAACATGAAATGATGGAATATGGGTGTGTGAGCACACACACACGCTCTTTCCACTACGGTCCCTCTTATTAATAAATCTTCTGTTTGCTCAATCTGTCTGATGATGTTGGGATAGGAGTCTATACAGCTGTCATTTATAGATGAATATCCATTACAGCAGGATTTGACAGACTGTTTGGCCTCCACAAGCTGTACACCAGATACTTATACTGACTCTAGCTTTCCTTTCTCTCCTACTTAATTATACTATAATAATACCCGATAGCTGTTGTGGGCGGCATTGGCAGTGTATATCATTTTAAACACATAATTGATAACTGATATCTGAGGAAATGACCCAGACTTGACATTTCACTATGGCATTAAAGCTGAAGTGTGTATTTTATTCAATGTTAACATACTTTACCAGCTTAAAATGCTGAAACATCTAAATGGAAATTATTCATGGACTGATTTGTTTGAGCATCCCATCCAGCCTGACACACATAAACCCCTGAAAGGGTTTATTGCCTAATATTATTTGTTATAATGTAGCACACCTTACAGAGACCGATCAATCGGAATCAAGCATTAAAGAGAGCAGTGTAATAAAATTAATTATTTTCATATATAAATATTGAATCAAGTCTGTCTGTAAAATTCTGGGTTCAGCCATTTGTAATACCTGATTAGAGGAAGTATAGATTACATGTAGAATCAGTAACTTTCATAGGGTATAAGGTGAGCTAGCATGCTATGCTATGCTAAGCTAGTACACTGAATATTGGTTTGGGGTCCTAGGTGGACTCAATTCAACTGGAGGACATAATGAAATGCTCATGCAAGTGAATATGTTGATAATTTGAAAAATGGTGTGTTTAGGAAACCTGTTTGAAAACATTTATTATTTTTGCTATTCTGTTAGGTGCCACTATAAATTCTGTCATTTATTTATGTTGTTCCAAACCCATTTCAAAATACAATTTTGTTTGTCTTTGAAACACAAATGAAGATAATTTTAATGAAACTTAAAGTGCCCCTATTATGCCATTTCCAATATTGCCTTTCATGCAGTGTGTAATGTAGCTGTATGTGAATGTAAACGATCTGCAAAGTTGTAAAGCTGAAAGTGCACGATAAATAAAGTTATTGTCTCCCAAAATAAAGAATCGACTCTGAACAGCTGAAACGAGTCATTAGTAATTGGAATCCCACTTCCGTGACGGCTACACGTCACGGGATAACACATTTGCATGATGCACGCCTATGTTCTACGTTGGCCGGCCGCGAACAACTTGACCCCGCCCACAAACACGTCATTCTACTGACGACTGCTTCCTAATCTCTGGGAGTTTAACGCGGGATTCACAAAACGCTTGCTGTTGAAAGCTGGATCAGTATCCTGTTTATTTAGACCAGCTGCTCCACTGAATCACAACCTGTAAGTATGATAAATAATAGATGTTTATATTTTCTATAGAGCGTTCAAAATACAGAACTATTGAAAAAGGCGTATCGCTTCCGACACGCGCTGTACGCCGTAGACCAATCATAACAGACTAGGCCCTCTGAGCAGAGCAGAGCAGAGTAGACTCACGGAAAGGAGGGGTTTAGAGAGACTGAATCTTTTAAATGCTTCAAACGAATCGTTTGAGAATCGCTGGAAAATGAGGTAATATTAAATGCATATTTTGAGAAAAACGAAAGCGTTTTTTGACCTTGCATGCATGTAATCATATTGTAGGAGACTCCCAAAACAATATTAGGAACCGTAAAAATGGCATAATAGGGGCACTTTAAGAAATTTCTGTTCATCTGTTTGAAAGTTCATTTATGTTTCAAAGATGAACAAAAGTCTTATGGGTTTGGAATGATATGAGGTGAGTAAGTGATGACAGAACTTTCATTTTATCCCTTTAACAAATTATAAGGTTTAACTGTCCTGTAAGACAAGCACACATACCCAGTCTCTGAAGTCCAAACTGGCCAAAGCCTTTTCCTCGAACAAAGCCTTGGTAAACAAATGAATCAGAAGAAGGCATGTATGACACCTGTGGAGAAAAGTACAAAACAGTAAGCATAAAGAATTTTCAAAATGTCACAAATGAGCCACTGAAAGGTCAAATGTGTCAGTGATGTGAAAGACTACTTATGTTTGACATTTACTTTCCCATCATTTCTCACTGAGGCATAAAAAGTGTACAAATCCACACACAAATCCATATAAAACTAGCTTTCTCCCCCCTGCTCTACCACTTGTGCTTTCTCTATTTCTCTCTCTCTTCCATGAACACACACACACACACACACACACGAGCCACACACTCATGGCCCACAATTTTAATTACATTCTCCCAGGTGCTTGCCCCGAGTGCATTGGAGGGGGTTAGAGACGTCTGGCCCTGATTACCCAGCAATGATTTAACTGACGTTTTAATTAAAAGAAAAACTTTGTCGGTTCTCTGCTATCCCCAGGAGTGACAAGGTGTGTGTGTGTGGTTCAGGGTTTCAGTAGTTATAAGCATCCCAAGGTCCGGCCTTAAACAAGGGCCCTTACATCAGCCTGTGAGTGTTGA